GGGGGGGGGGGGGGGGGGGGGGGGGGATGAGGCAGGGAATGAAGCAGAAGCAGGTGCTTTACAAGTTTGACACTAGGCTGGGCTAAGCAGGACCATGTCTCTGAGGTCAAAATATCACAGAGGGAGAATGAAAGACGTGCCAGCTGGAGCGCTATGAGGCAGGCAGCTATGGGGACCTCGCTGAGGTCTGCAGGAACGGAGAGGTGTTTCTGTTGGCATTAGTGTTCTCCCACCGCACTTTCCAGACTACAGAAACCATGGAGAAAGCCTCCATCCACTTTGGTGCCTTCTGATGACTCCTAAAGTGAATCCTCGTTAGCAAATACTATTTTCCATGTGTGACTGGGCTATGGCAGCAGGGGGTTGGGAGTAGGTGTTCTCCCTGGCCATACTCTTCAGGGTAAGGGGAGCAGGGACTGTCTCTGACATGAACTCAGTGGCTGGCTCTTTGATCATTTCTCCCCGATGGGGGAGCAGCCTTACCAGGCCACAGAGGAAAACAATGCAGCCACTCCTGATGAGACCTGATAGGCTAGGGTCAGATGGAAGGGGAGGAGGACCTCCCCTATCAAAGAACTTGGGGAGGGTCATGGGAAGAGATGAGGGAGGGAGAGTGGGATTGGGAGGGTCTGAGGGAGGGGGCTACAGCAGGGATACAAAGTGAATAAACTGTAATTTATTAAAAAATAAATTAATTTAAAAAAAGAAAGGGAGTCTCACTTGATTTGTAGGTGGCAGGGTGTATGATTCTGCTGCTCTAGGTCAAGGGAAGGGAAGGGAAAGCAGAATCTTAAACCTGTGCACCAGGGAAGTGACATCTGGGCAAGAAATGCCTTCTGGGAATCTCAGGACTAGGCACACAAATACCACTCAAGACAGTAGGCTGTAGCTCCCCTCCCCCCATTTTACAAGGCTTGCGGCCACCAATAGTTTGTTAGTCTACGGTTCCAAGAATGAGGCTGCTATTATTTGTGTGAACAAGGAGGTAGCTCAGTCTAGGCCCAACTTTGGGGACTGGGGAAAAGTGCCAGCTTATTCTTAAATGCTGCAGCACCTCAATAAAGAACAAGATGCCGGACGGTAGTGCCGCACACCTTTAATCCCAGCACTCAGGAAGCAGAGGCAGGTGGATCTACAGAGTTCCAGGACAGCCAGGGCTACACAGAGAAACCTTGTCTCAGCTCCTCACCTCCAAAAGCCCCAACAAAAAACAAAACAAACGAAAAAAGCACAACCAAACACACAAAATGGAAGAGTCCTGTTTGTCTACAACGCTGAGAATGGGGGTGTGAACAAGCCACAGTACCTCTTACAGAGAACACAGGATGACTTGTGACCCTATCCTAAGCTCACATTCATCCACTTGGTATTTCCAGAGGTCCGGAGGTCCTAGGGAGGGAGTCCAGCAAAAACTGCCTAGCAGCTGCTCTGAGTCTGAACCTCTCTCAAGGAAACATCAACGAATTTACCAAGGCAAGGGTAACGGAGGGGGAGGGAGGGAGGGAGGCACACTGGTGGCATAGAGGGTAGGCTTCAGCCAGAAGAGAACCCCACTGTTTGGAGAGCTGGCACTTATGGAGGTTCCCAAGTTCTCTAGCAGGCAGGCGGGCCTTGCTGACCCTGCAGAGCTGCAATGCTGGCACGGGAGACAGCAGGAAAAACATCTGTGGCCCTTCGAGGACAGGAAGGCACAGCATAATCAGAATGGCAGTCTCTCCCGATGGCAGATGATAGCTATTGAGCAAAGTTTTTAATTTTGTTCTTAAACAAATAAACAAACAAATACATACCACCATGGTTACACCGAGACTGTGGGGACTTCCTGGGCTCACAACGAGGCCATCCTGAACAAACTGATGAGCTTAGCAGGGACAATAACACTCGAGTCACCGTGCCACTTAAACATGCACGTAGCACACATTCAGCACGCAGAAGTTAGATGGGGGCTACAGGGAACACGCACACATTAGGAATGATGTCACAACTGAACGTCAACCCAGTGCCCCTGGGCTCGTTTTGGACACTAGAGAGTGCACTGTCTGGCAGTTTCCAAGGACGGCTCCTCCCTTTACTGTGCTGAACCTGACGGAGATCCATGGGATACGTGAGTCTTCTTCACAGCTTAAACGGGCATTTGTCTGAGGAATGACCGGAGGGGCAAAGGTACAAGCCCCAAACTGAATTCTGAACGTATGTGTGGGTACCTGGCACACAGGAGGGGGAGCGAGAAACTGTCCTTCGAGAAGTTGGCAAAGCAATGGGATGCCGGAAACCAGTTACCTGGTAAGTCCTTGTCCAGTGGTAACAGGAATTCTTTCTCCTTGGGAGAAGCGTCAAGGAGGTGGCTGAGGAAGGTGGCTCAACTCTGGCCTCAGAGAAAAGAAGCTACAGTAGGGATGGGGGGATGTCTAGCAGAGAGCCCAGCCTGACTCCCACCTAAAGATGTGAAGTGTTAACGGGTATCATGGAAGGCTCGGGGCTTTCCATTTCATCGGCTCAGGATAGGGATCAAAGTGCCACCTTCTGGTGCTATTTAGTGCTCAAACTGCTGGTATTCCTGTTTCCTATTTCTTATGCCCGTAATGTTTTCTCCAACAGAGTTCAGGCACTGCTTCATTCTGGGGCTCCCAAACATCACTTCCCCTACCAGCAATACTCTTCTCCATTTTCTGAGGGGACCCAGGCTGGAAGTCTGTGGAGGAAAAAGAGCAAAAACCAAAGGGCACAGGGTGAGGTATGGCTTGGGGGCTATGGGATGCACTGAGGCTATCTGCTGGTCGCTTCCGGGGTCCTGGATCATTTGTGCCCCCAAAACATGAGGAACTATCCTCTTCTGCAGCCACAGGCTCACAGTGCTGGGTGTCCAGGATAGCTTGGTAATCACGTGGCCCTGGCTGGCCTCAAACTCAGTGCCCCTGCGTGTGCCACCATAGCTGGCCTGCTCTGCGGTCTTTGCGCATAGCACTATGCTGAAGGATGTCGTGTCTAACCTGCGCTGTGCTACGAACAGATTCAAAAAATGCCAAAAAGTAGCTCCTGAGGTATAGTGGTCACACCAATAAGGCCAGCACGGCAGAGGTTAGGGCAGGAGGCTTGAGATGCTGGCGGCCAGCCTGGACTAGAGACCCTGTCCAAACAAACAACAACAAAAGGGGTAGCCTTAGGGGTCACCTAATTTCTCACGGAGGAAACTAGAGCCCAAAGACATAAAGAAACCTGCTCAATCATAGAGATGCTTAGTGGTGGGTTTTTCCTCTTTTAAGAGGCACAAAGAATATATCCGTAGTGATTTTCATGATTCGCTGTCCCTTGCCAAACAGTCCATAAAGTGCTCAGAGGTTTGAAAAGTAAGGCTGGCATTCATCGTTTTGGAAGCCTAGATGCCTCACTATTTGGCTCTAAGGGCGGGCCAGGAGTTCCTTTTGCCGCCATCTTTATTCCTAAGGAGGCTTGCCTGGTGGCTGAAGGAACTCAAAAAGCACAACCTGACATAACCCCCCACTCTTGAAGCTGGAAGCCACGAACTGCTGAGGGACGAGGAAATCCTGTCCTACTGTCAGGGGCAATGGTCAAATTCCTGGGGTGAAGCAAGGCAATTTCGGCTCAGGTGAAGATAGGACGGCAGGACATGGGAGCTGAGGTGGTAAGGCCAGTAAGAGGGAAGCAATCCGAGTGACTTCACTGGGTTGGACTTCACACATCAAGACTCCTCGATCCACAACGCTTCCGAGCCCAAGGAGTCTTGACCTTCCAGAGCCCTTCTGGGCCTCCTTTCTCCTTTCTTGAGTTCCTCGCACTTACAGCCACCCCAATCTCTCCGAGTTTCGAAGGCGGGTTTCAAGCCACCTCCGCTCGACTCCCTGGGACCCCTCGCCACTCATCTGCCAACGGTGGTTCCCCGGTTCCTGGAGCCACCGCGCCCTCCCCAGCCCCCACGCCTAGGTCCCTCGGGTTTTTTCCCCCCTGCTGTGGCCAGCAGGAGCCCAGCCTCAAATAAAATGGATCCAGCCCTGGGGCTCCGCGACCCCGGCGCCGGCAGGGTGCTCGGGCCCCAGCAGCGCGTAGTCACGGCCGCCGTTGTTGTCCCAGAACTCGCGGCCGGTAACGCGGTAGCGAAGGGCGAAGAGCAGCGCGCCGCCCACCGGAGGCGCAGGCAGGCGGAAGGCGAAGCGGTCGGCCCGCGGCGGGGCCGGGGCCGGGCCGGCGTAGGAGGCGGGCGACTCCCGCAGGCTGCGCCAGCCGTCCGCGCTCCAGCGCACGCTCACGCGCTTCTCGTAGGCCAGGTCCAGCACGCGCGCGCTCCCGGCCACGCCCGAGGGGCCCGCGTCGGCGCGCTCCAGGCAGATGCGCTGCGCCTGCAGCCGGGCGGCGAAGCCGGGCTCCAGCGCAGGCTCCAGGGCGGTGCGCGCCTCCTGCAAGGGGAGAGGACGGGGAGGTGGGTCAGGGCCGGACCCGGGGCCAGAAGGCTGGGGGGAGGGGGATACGACACGGCGGGGCGCCTACCTGGAGGCCGCGGGTGCGCGGCGGGCACGGCGCGAAGTGGCGCAAGGCGTCCCTCTGCAGTTGCATCTGCACGTGGCGGGGCACCCGGGGCGGCTCCCCCGGGCGGAAGCGGCGCACCACGGCCAGCTCCAGCCCCAGCGCGTCGGCGAAGCGCACCCTCTTGCGAGTGTCCGGGCTGCGACTGCGGGCCGTCCGCGCCCCGCCGCCACCTGCGGGTGCCGAGCGGGCCCTGCGCCCCCGGCCCGGAACGTGTGCCCGCGAGCGGGCGCCCGGCCGGGTCCCGCCCTCCCCCGGCTCCTCCTCCGACTCCTCCTCGAGGCTCGGCCGCTGGCTGCGGTAGTAGGCGCGCTCGGTCAGCGCCGCTATGAAGCTCAGATTGCGGGGGATGTCAGTGCGCGGAGGCCGCTCGTGGGACATGTCACCCCTGCTCCCCAGCGGGGCCGGCGCGTAGGGGCCCGCGCGTCCTCGCTCTCCCGCCTGCTCTGCGTCGGAGCATAAGGTGTAGGGCGGCTCGGCGGCTGCTGGCCGTGGACTCTCCTTGCCGTCACCTCGGGTACCCGGCTTGCTCGGTTTCCTTGAGCACCTTTCCCTCCCTTGGGCGCTCAGCCCCGAGGTCCCGCCATCCGCCCTCCCGCTTCCAGTTGTCTGCTCTGAGCGTGCGCTCAACGGCGCTCACCCTTTGGTTCTGCGGGCCTCGCTGACCCGGCCCCCGCCCACAGCCCTCTGACAGGTGGCTCGCATCCATCTTCACGGCTGCACCAGGGGGCGGGACTGACTCCATCCTTGGGGTCCCAGATGAGTTACTCCAGTTTGAGAAAGGTTAAAGCAGGGAGGAAGGAGTAATCTTTCGTTTTGCACGGAAAAGTGCAAAGTGCTAAGGGTTTAACTCTGTTTGGGGCTCAGTGTTTTTCTTAAGGCCAGGCTACAGGTTTGAGACTGGGGTGATGATGGGTGTAATGAAAGAAAGGACACGAATTCTAGGTCGAAGACTCAAAAGCATGCGCGGTGGTGGCACACTGGCTACTAAAAAAGAGTAGTGGGAACACCTAGCTTCCAGTCTTATGTCCCCTGCTGTGTGACCTAGAGAAAAGACTACCTTCTCTGGACCTTGGTCTTCTCACTCGTTAAAAAAAAAAGTTCTAATCCCTAACTGTACATCTTTTCAAGAATGGAGGCTGTTTCTGATTCACGACAGGTTTTTGTTTTGTTTTTACTTTTGTTTTTGCTTTTGGAGACAGGGTTCTCTGGGTAGCCCTGGCTGTCCTGGACTCGCTTTGTAGACCAGGCTGGCCTCGACCTCACAGGGAGCCTCCTGCCCCTGCCTCCTGAGTGCTGGGATTACAGGAGGCGGGTGTGTGTGCCACTGCACCTGGCTCAGGCAGTTTTTATACATGAATGGCCTCCCAGTTACTGAGCTGAGCTTCCAAAAAGGACACAGGACCGGCTATTTTCCGTTTCATTTTTGAAAAACGTACTTGTGAAAATGTACGTAAAATGTTTTCTAACTTCTCTACTGATGTTTTTTTCTTTTCTTTTTAACATCTATTTATCTATGTATGAATGCTCTGTCTGCATGTACACATGTATGCCAGAAGAGGGCACCACATCACATTACAGATGGTTGTGAGCCACTACCTACAAGGTGGTTGCCAGGAATCCAGACCTCTGGAAGAGCAGCCAGTGCTTTTAACCACGGAGCCATCTCTGTAGCCCCTCTTTTTTGTTTTTGTTTTTGACAGGGTTTCTCTGTGTGACCTTGGCTGTCCTGGAACTCACTATGCAGACCAGGCTGACCTTGAACTCAGAGATCCACCTGTCTCTGCCTCCCAAGTGCTGGGATTACAGGCGAGAGCCACCACAGCCCAGCATCTACTGATTTTTTTTCAATGATTTGTCTTATTTTTAAATTATGTGTTGGGAGTTGTGTATTCAGTAGTGCAGGTGCCCACGGAGGCCAGAAGGGGTCATCTGATAGCCCGGAGCCGGAGTTACGGTAGATGTGAGGGGCTGGAAGTGGGTGCTGAGAAGTCACCGAGGTCCTCTAGAAGAGTGCTGTGCGCGCCTGATGGCTGGGCCATCCTTGCCAGTGTCACGGTAGTTACTAATTGTGGAGCTGGGATTAGTACTTGAGCAGCTAAACTCTAGAGTCCATCCTCTTTTTTTTGGGGGGGGGTAATTTTTTTTATATTAATTACAGGTTGAGTCCACCCTCTTAGCCATTTAGTTGTTATGTAACATTAAACCACACGTGGTAACAGATAATACTAGTCTCTTCATTAAATGTTGATGCTGACACCTGATACAGAAGCGGAAGGTAAGAGGCTCAAAATGGCCCCGTGGTAAGAGCACGCCCTACTCCAGGGAATCTGATGCCCTTTCTGGCCTCCAAGGGCACCTGCGGTCACATGACCATAGCCCCTACATGGACACACACAAGCACCTGATTAATTTTCTTTTTAATTAACAAAAGGGAGTATGACCTGGAGAGGACAGGAGCTCCACAAGGACCAAATATATTTGGGCACAGGGTTCTTTTGTGAGACTGTTTCTCCAACCAAGGACCATGTATGAATATAATCTAGAACCCCTGCTTGGATGTAGCCCATGGCAGCTCAGTAACCAAGTGGGTACCCTAGTAAAGGGAACAGGGACTATATCTGACATGAACTCAATGGCAGGCTCTTTGACCTCTTCCCTCCACCCGAGGGAGCAGCAGCCCTGCTAGGCCACAGAAGAGGACATTGCAGCCAAGCCTGAAGATGCCTGATAAGCTAGGTTCAGATGAAAGGGGAGGAGGTCCTCCCCTACCAGTGGACCTGGAAAGGGGTAGGGAGAAGAAAAGGGAGGGATGGTGGGAATGGGAGGGAATGAAGGAGCAGGATACAGATGGGATACAAAGTTAATAAACGATAACTAATATTAAGAAAATAAAAATTAAAAAAAGGAGGGCTGGGCATGGTGACCCTTAATCCCAGCACTTGGGAGGCAGCAGCAGGCAGACCTCTGAGTTCAAAGCCTTCCTGGTCTATAGAGTGAATTCCAGGAGAGTCAGAGCTACTCTGAGAAACCTCATCCTGAAAACCCAAAATAAGAGCTGGAGAGAGTTCAATTCCCAGCCCCCACATGGCAGCTCACAGCCAAGGTGGCATTCAGTGTTCTCTTCTGACATGCAGGCATCTATATGCAGATAGAGTACTCATATACATAAAAATAAAGAAATCTTTTAAAAAACCCCAAATAGATAAACAAATAATTAACTAAATAATAAGATGGGGCCAGGCATGGTGGTACACTCCTTTAATCCCAGCACTCTGGGAAGTAGAGGCAGGCAGATCTCTGTGAGTTCAAGCCCAGCCTGGTCTGCATAGTGAGTTCCAGGACAGCCATGGCTTAGAGAGACCCTGTCTCCCCCCTGCCCCTCAAAAAAATAGAAATTAAATCTCTAAATTCACTTATTTGTGGTGTGGGTGTTTGAAGCCAGGGCCCCATGTTTGCTGGACAAACACTCTACCACTGAGCTCTTGAAGTCTATAAATTTGTAACAATGTGGCTTAACACAAAATAACTACACAAGGAACTCAACTGGAAATAAACACTGAAACTTACATGTCTTATTGTGTGGTTCCTCTGTGTGTGTGTATGTGTGTATGTGTTCACAGCAACATTAGCTAGGACTCATTAAAAAAAAAAATAACATTGAGTTGTGTTTCTTATTTCACACCTAAAATGCACAGAGTTACTTCGTGTCCTAAGGTGTAAAATAATTATGCACTGATTAACATCACAGTCAGGCAGCTGAAAGGATCCTCCTAGCTCTGGTGAAATAATATGGCATTGAAGTAAAACCAAGGAGGCTCCCCCGTAGTTTATGGCCTGGAGTTTTTGGCTTGTCTCCGGCTCGCACTGGAGTTTTTGGCTTGTCTTTGGCTCTGCCGTGTGGGACTGGTAAGATCCTTGAGGTGTATACCTCTGGACTAGATAACAGAGTCTGACAACCCTGCTCTTCTGGAGGCTCACACTGACATCGAATCTTCCAAATTAGTCTGTTTTTTAAATAGCAACTGCAATGATCTCTAAACATCTGATAGGAACTGCTCAGAGACTGCCCAGAGGTGCCAACTGATTAATTTAGTCAATGGGTACTGTTGGCTTGTTTGGCCGTGAAGACCCAAATGTGAATAAACCACAGCTCTGTCTGTCGAGGAACACACTCTGTAGACGAGGCTGGCCTCAAACTCATCAAAATCTGCCTACCTCTGCCTCCCAAAGTACTGGCATTACAGGCTTGTGTTATCACCACCCGGCTATTAGGGTCTCTTAAGACCAGTAATAAAAACAAATTCACACTCTGGAGAGGCAGAGGCAGGTGGATCTCTGTGAGTTTGATGCCAGTCTGGACCACAAAGTGAGTCCAAGACAGCCAAAGCTCCACGGAGAAACCCTGTCTGGAAAAAAAAAAAAAAAAAAAAAAACAGCAACAATTCAGAGTGGGGTACACTTGTGTAATCCCTGCACTAATCAGGAGGTGCAGGAGAAGGGATATCAGGGTCAACTTTATCTCCACAGTGAGTGCAAGATCAGCCTGGGCCACACAAGACCTCACTGCAGAACAAACCTCCAAAGTCTATTTATTTCAAGTAAACCATATTGCAAAGGAAAGCCTTTAACTAGGTGTCTCTAAAAACAAATGGGGCTGTCTTCCTGGTGGCATCTAGAATGATCAGTCCAAGAACAAAGAAGAATGAGTGTGGGTGAAGGTATAGAACTATGCAAGAGTGGGTTAGGCTGTGTGTTCAGAGAACTCAGAACTGCTGTGCATTCCAACTATAAGAACAACCTTGACGGCCAAAGGGAAGAGGAGGTCATCTCGAGGCAATGCACTGAAAACGTTCAAACTTACAGGTCAGACTGAGTTAGACTAAGTCCTAGCTTCTCTCCTTAGTGTGTGGATTTGGGCAAATGATTTAACCTTTCCAAGCCTCAGCTTCATTTTTCATGTAATAAGCGTTAAACAGCCTAAGAAATAAGGTGAGAACAACAGTTATACATGTAAAGAAAGTACCGTAGTTCACGGCTGCAATGCCAGCAGTCTGGAAAGCTGGCACAGACAGAGTGTGAGTTCAAAGTCAGACTGACTTACAAAGAACATGGAGAGAGGAGGAGAAGGAGGAGGAGGAGGAGGAGAGGAGGAGGAGGAGGAGGGCGCTCGCAATAAATTCCCATAATGTGTTGCTACTACCATCACCGTGGCTTCTCTGGTGACCACACAGATAAAAGGGAGCACGAAGGCTTAGTGGGAGAAGCAAGGGGAAGCAAACAAGAAAGAACTGAAGGAAAAAAAAGCATAACTGGGTTGCCTCTTTCTGGCTGGGCTAAAGTTGCAAACTGAGCTAAAGAAATGGCAAGATTCAGGAGCCCAGCATGACGGAGGCACTGGCCTCGTGGTCAGTGCCCTCCTGTGGAGCAGTCAGAAGGCTTCTTGCCCTGGAACTTACTCTACATAAATATATTATCATGTGCTGGGCGGTGGTGGTTCATGGCTTTAATCCCAGCAAATCTGAGCAGAAGCAAGCCGATCTCTGTGAGTTCCAGGCCAGCCTGGTCTATACAGTGAGTTCCAGGACAGCCAGGGCTACACAGAGGAAAAAACCCTGTTTCAAAATAAAAGCATGTGCGCACACCTACGTTTTATATATACACGTTTTTACAAATGTAAACTATATGTATACATGATATATGTACATATATTTATCATATAAATATATTTAGTATATATGCATATGTGTACACATGTTTATATGTTACCCACAAGTGTATAAATATATACATGTATTCACGTTTAAGTTTAGATATGTGTAATTTGTAAAACGGGCATTAACCTTAACAGTGGTAACCTGAATTTAAGGAGGATGTGTATTTCTATTAGTAAGCTTACATCAATTTGTGCCTTTTATTGTTTGTATTTTTTAAATGAGGATTAATTCATGTGGTGGGTGAAAACATTGAAAGAAAGTCAATCTGATGACAAAAGCTGAAGAGTGCTGTGGACACTGCAATCCAAGGCCTGCCACCCTGACGCCTAGCTGAAACTCCAGCCCAGGAAAAGCCCACTGGATGAAAGGTCCCCGGGGCAAGTATCTTTGTGTTTAGCGTCCCTACTAGTCCCACAAGGGCAAGGCGTTGTTCCCAGCTCGATGGGAACTGCTCTTCTTTTCTCAGGCACACAATCCAAAGCCGGAAAGTTCAACAAGTGCCTGAACGGGAGCGACCTTCCGGGAACGCTGAATTTGCACGGAGCTGCAAAGCCGGGTGTGTTTCTCCGGGTGCGCAGCGGGCTCAGCAGGCCGCCAGCACAGGTCACCGTGGCCTCTGAACAGCCTTTCAATGGCCCTCTCTTCCCGGAGTTGTGGCCCTTCCCAGCCCTGCCTCCCAGCCCCGCCCCTCTCCCTGGACGCATCTCTGGGTCCCATCATCACCCGGCGCCGGGCCCTCCCTCCCTGCCCTCCCCTCCTCCCTCCTTCCTTCCTTCCCTTCCTCCCTCTCTCCCTCCCTCCCAGCTCCTCCACCAGGAAACAACCGGATTCCGGATCCCGGCTGCGGCCTGACCCGTGAGATTCCCTAACCTGGCTGGCGGGCGGGGTTGGAGACCAGCTAAGGGTGGGGGAATGGGAGGAGCTGGGCCTTTGGGCTGCTCTTGGGGGAACCGGGAGTAGAGATGGTGTCGGCAGGAAGCCCGTGGTCCCGGGTTTCCCGGGAGGGCAGGCATTAAACATGGAATCGGCCACACAGCTGGCAGAACGGTGGAGGCAGGGAGGGGCCCAGTCCCGGGAGCCGCAGTTCCAGTCCTTTCCGGGCCAGACCCCGATCCCTGGCCTTTCTCACCTAGTTCTTCTCTCTCCCTCCCGTTTTCAGGGCTCCACGCTGGCCGGGAGAATGAAAGGCCTCAGCCGGGGGCTCCCTGCCACCAGCACTGGGTCCTAAGAGCTGCCATCCAGGCTGGGTAAGTGTCCTCTTCCTTTCTGCCCCATTACAGCCCTTGGCTTTTACCATCTTGCTCTTCAGTTTCTGTCTCCTCCCTATCTTGTGCTTCTGCCAACATCTTCACATCCTGCTCCTGGGGAGGTCCTAAGCCTCTTCCTGTAGCCAAAAAGGTGTGTGTGTGTGTGTGTGTGTGTGTACGTATGTACACGCGCGCACAGAGGTGTCATAGAGCTGCTGTTGCCGTATGAAAGGAATCTGAAGTAGTCTAAAAATAAGATTTCCTGTTGCACACTTAATTTGACATGTTATACGTGGCCAGCTGCTTATGCTCTGAACCTACCCGGTGGCTTAAATCCTTTGCTCTTGCTTGTCCCTGCCTGGTGGCCTCTATCTCAGGAGCTTGGCTAAATAGCAAATGTCCCTTCTGGGTCTCTTTCAGTATTTTCTGTATATTTATGTCAGTCTGTGATCCTTGCCCCTTTCAGCCGCCCGGATGGCGACCCCAGCCTCAGCCCCAGACACACGGGCTCTCGTGGCTGACTTTGTAGGCTATAAGCTGAGGCAGAAGGGCTATGTCTGTGGAGCAGGCCCTGGGGAAGGCCCAGCCGCAGACCCGCTGCACCAAGCCATGCGGGCCGCTGGAGACGAATTTGAGACCCGGTTCCGGCGCACCTTCTCTGACCTGGCCGCCCAGCTACACGTGACCCCAGGCTCAGCCCAGCAGCGCTTCACCCAGGTTTCTGACGAACTTTTCCAAGGGGGCCCCAACTGGGGCCGTCTTGTGGCGTTCTTTGTCTTTGGGGCTGCCCTGTGTGCTGAGAGTGTCAACAAAGAAATGGAGCCACTGGTGGGACAGGTGCAAGACTGGATGGTGACCTACCTGGAGACACGCCTGGCTGACTGGATCCACAGCAGTGGGGGCTGGGTAAGAAGCTTTGCAATTGCTGCTCTCTTCACCCCTCTGCATAGCTGGTCTTCGTGGGGAGATGGGGTCTCTGGTGGAAGGCTGGGGCATTTGTGCTGGGGAAGAGCCATCAGGGCTGAGTTTCCCTGTTTAAGTGGAATCAGACTGAGAGCGTCAAGCGTGACCCCTGAGTCATGTAGCGTGAATGGTGGGGAGGGTCAGGGATGGGTCGGGGCTAGGCAAGCCTTAGCAGAGGATGCCAGTTCTGAACAGAATTTTTTTTGCAAGGAAAGGATGGGGCTCCCTTGAGGCAGACAGTGCAGAGGAGCCAGGGCAGGGGTGGGTGGGTGGGGGGTTCCTCGGGGTCAGGCCGGTAGGCAGTGGAGCTTTGGCTGGAGGAGGTGGGTGCGGGATAGAGCTCACAGCAGATGGAACTGGAACTCTTCCTTCCCTCTTCTCTCCACTCTCCTTTCCTGATACCCCTCCTCTCCTTCTTTCTCCACTTCCCTTCTCTCCCACAGGCGGAGTTCACAGCTCTGTACGGGGCCGGGGCCCTGGAGGAGGCACGGCGTCTGCGGGAGGGGAACTGGGCATCAGTGAGGACAGTGCTGACGGGGGCTGTGGCTCTGGGGGCCCTGGTAACCGTAGGGGCCTTTTTTGCTAGCAAGTGAGAAAGTCGAGGGCCAGGTGGGGCTAGGTGAGGCTAGGGGCCAGGAGAGCTGGGACAGAATAGAGACTGCCCTCGGGAGGAATTGGATGGTCATGGAACCCAGAAGGGCAGGGAAGGTGGTGTGTGAGGGAGCATGCCAGGCAGGTGGCGGGAAGAATGAGTTGGAGACATTAAGGAATATTTCAAGGCCAGGAGCCCAGGAGACGGAGTCCTCCCAGGGCTTGGGGGGAGACAAGAAGCATGCCCGTGTTATGGGCACACGACTACCCAGAACACGGCGTGTAGCTCCGAGAGAGGTGGACTTCTTTTGAAGAGTTGTGTCTCCGTTAGATGAGTGGGGTGGAGGGGACCTAGTTACACCTCCCTTTGGAATGGCAGCTTGGCGATCAGGTGACCGGATGTAGTGGCTGTGGCTGTGGGTTGCGTGGGCTCACGTGCATGCTGGGCTGTTTGTCGACTCTGGTGATGGAACACTTAGAGAAAACATTCCTTCTTGCAGTGACAAGAACAAGGGCCAGTTCACTGCCCTTCTCCTCTCCGCCCCTACCCCTGACCTTAGGCCTACAGGCTGAGGGAGGAAGACTGTGTCTAGACTAGGGCGCTGGCGCTGCTGAAAGTTGTTGGCAGGGGCTTTGGAGAGAAGAGTTCTGCAGCTGGCCTTGTTCTTCCTTGTCCCCCTTCTGTGTCCATCTTCGCACCTGGGCTGACAGAGGGTAAGGCTGTGGAGCCCAGTAGGTAGAAGCGTGGGTAGTAGGACCTGCCTGCCACCTTCCCCTCTAATGGGGGCACAATGGTGCCTCAGGTGTTGCCTCTTTCTAGGACCTCTCTATCCAGCTGAAACTCTAAATTGGGGCTCTAGTTTTCCCTTGGAAGATAGGACCTAAATGCTGATCTAGAATTCAGTTTGGGTCCTGAACTGTCTCGGTGAGACTGCCAATGCCCGGAGAGGACCATTCCAGCTCTGAGCCCCTTGGGTGTGATGGTGACAGGTACTCCTTGACTGGCCTATTCTGTGTGGTGGGTTTTGGTGCTGCTTTATCAGGGGCCAGATATATGGGTATAGAGTACCTGCCATGACCTAAACACATTTCTGTTTCTTTTGAGGCCATGCTCCTTGCACAGGTGTTATTGTCCTTGCAGATGCTGACATTAGAACCCACAGACCAGTCCTCTAGAACAGATCACACTCTAGCTTTTTCTTTTGAGGGAGGAATTCTTCACTCCAGATGCATGCCCTGAGCCAGACCTCACTGCTGCACTTTCCAAGGTGCTAACATTGCTGCTCTCCAGTGCTGACTTTGTTCACAGTGCTCTAGAACCCTACCCATGATCCCGAGCACTGATCAACTTAGCAAGACCACAGCCGACTTGACTTTTCACTTGGTCCTAGAATGTGGCATCATATTGTGCGTGCTAGAATGTGGGACCAAATTGGCCTCAGGTGTTTAGTCCAGACTTTTGCTTTGGAGAGAAGGTTGCACTTTTTGATGGTGTCTGTGGGGATGTGGGAGACTGCATGTGCCAGTTGGTCTGTTTTGAGTGTGCTGATCTAAGAAACTCAGAGCTGTCTGTGGCCAGCAGTTGGAGTGGGAGGCTCTGACTTGCTCAGGACAAACTAGGCCAGTGGTTTTCAAACTGCTTGGCAGAGCCCCGAAGTGTCCCAGGGGTTGCCTCAGGAGTCCTTAGGGAGATGAGGAGTGGAGGGCTGGGCAGTTTGCCCTCAGACAGAACAGCTCTCCTGTAGCTGTCTTATGTATCGGGGTTCAGGGTAAGATTTTCTTTGTGGTAAGGGCTTTGCTGCTGAAACAAGTTAGAAAACCACTGACTAGACCATCCGTTCCAACCGGAGCCTGTGCTCCTCCAAGGTCAGGGAAGACTCTGCTCCACTCTTCCCATGGGATACCAACCCAGGTTAGCATTCCTGGGGGCCGTTAGCAAACAGGAGCAGTGGGTATCTGTGGGGGGTTAGCAGCGTGCTCTGCTCGCAAGCCTTCACAGGGGTGGAGGAGCAACATGTCAGGATAGGGTGAAGGGTGTGGTCTGGATTCCCAGAAGCTTAGCTTGATGGGACCACGGTGGGGAGTTAGGACCTGTTCTGCCCTTCGTTTTAAGGGCCAGTGGCAACCCAGAGACTCTTCTGTCAGGGAGAACCAGGGACTGTCTTTTAGAGCCATATAGTTCCTTGGGATTAGCTCTTGGCCAGGAAGGCTGAGTATGGCTCCCAATTTTTAAATCCATTTCATTTTTTTTAAACGAGGGAAATGGATATAATTTTTCAAATATTAAATAGGTGGAGAGGATGTTCTTGCTCTCCAGAGCCCAAAGGGACAAATAGGGACTTCGCTTAGGCCAAGGAAAGAGCGGAAGTGGGGCAACTCAGTCCTGCAATTATTAATCCCACTCCCCACTTACACTAGGGCGTACATATACTATTTTACTTTTTTAAATCATAAACGGCAGGAGAACAGATTTGGTTAGTTTAGAAGAAGAGAAAAAGCTCTATAAATATAAATATATATTCCTGTATTTTTATTTAATAATTTATAAATGCCAAGTTCATTTGACTTTTATTTTTGTGTAATATGTAATGGTCGTATTAAAAATAAATAAATAAAGCCCAGAAATTTAATGAGAAGTGCTGAACAGGGTTTTGTGACTTCTATACTGTACAGCCTGGTTTTAGAACTCTCATTAAACCAGTCATTTCTTAATGGCCATGACCTTGCTAAGGGAAATAATTTGAGTTATAGGGATTTGGGAAAGTATTGAGGTTGAGAAAAAGATTTCACACCTCCCCCACCTGGCCTAACACTGATACTTAAGAACTCTGTACCAGCTGGAGCCTGAAGAAGGTACAGGCATGAGGTACATCGGGAGGCTTTTTACACTCACGAACCCCCTCCTCAAACATCGTGGCATGGTGTGGTGGCAACAGCTGCAATCCCGGCAGACAGGAAGGTGGGCCACCCAGGTACACAGTGGGTTCAAGGCCAGCAGGGCTTCATGAAACCTTGTCTCTGAACCAATTATCAGAAAGCAGAAAGTAATTAAGGCGTGGAGGACATTCTTAAGTAATACTCTCAAATACAAAAGCTAGGCTGTGAACTCAGCTGCAAGGTTCTTGGCAGCCAGAGCAATCTGGAAAACAGATTAAAAGCTTTATAGTTACTCAGAAGGCACAGTTTTCAGGAAAGATACTTAGTGACATAATTGATGGCAAATGGAGTATTTTATCTCCATTGTTCTTTTAGAATTACCAAGTGGGGATCTTGAAGGTCTTAGGTTTGCTCTATCAGCCTCATTACAATTTAGGCCAAATACTTTATCATGATCTGATTGCTAAGCTTTAGGCTGTCCAAGAGGACAGATGACTGTTTTCTTATATAGTTCTGTGTAAATGCAACTCATCCAGATGGCCCTTTTAATAAAATTGGGCAACACTTAGTTACAGTTTCTGAACACTGTAGCGGGGGTAGGGAGGTTGGGTTGGGGTAGTTCTTGCTCATGCTGTAAATCTAGTACACTTGAGGTGCAAGGATCTCAAGTGTAGATCTGGCTGGGACATCCACAGTCCGCTCCAAGCCAGCCTGAGCTGCAAGCTAAGACTCATTGTCAGGGGAAGAACAAGACCCAAAACTACAGTTCCTGACAAGTGGATAGGTTATAGACATTCTTTATAAATTTCTTGTTTGCTTTTTCTTTCTTTCTTTCTTGAGACAGGATCTTGCTTGTAGTCCAGGCTGGCCTCAGACTCACGGAGTCGCCATTCCAGGTGTGCCACCATGTCTAACTGGGTTGTTTAAAAATTTAAAAAACAGCCTTAAATCTAGTTACGGGGAGGCATATAAGCAATAAGAATGCAGCCAGAAGCTGGATGTGGTGCTGCCGGTTCATAATCCCAGCCTTTGGGAGAAGTAGTTCAGTGCCATTGCAGCTTATATGAGACACTGCTCAACACACACAGACAAGAGAAAATGTGAGCAGAAAGCATAACAATGAGTTACATGTTTGCTTTCGTTCATCACTCACCTCCAGAGAAAATGTTCACCAATTTTCTGTGTATTTAGCACAGTTCTAGGCACACAGGCAAAGAGAATGGTTTTACACTTTAAGTAAGAGAATCAGACAAAAACTAAATAAATCTCATAATGTGTTGGAAGACAGTGATTGCCACGTGTGGGGTGTGGTGGCCTACTCCTTTCACTAGGGAGGCAGTGCCATGCAGCTCTCTGGAGGTTCAAGGCTGACATGGGAGACCCTGTTAAAAATACTGCTTTAAATAGGATCAAAGGTGGAAATATGTGACCCTCTAATTTTAAATCAGATGTCTAAGGTGACAAGTAAAACCATCAATGGTATAATTGAAAAAAATACATTTATTATCATGGAAAACATTTGTATATTTTCCTGTAAAACTAACATTGGTAAGAAAATAGCATGTGGACGTGTGAAGGATCACATTTTATATATGTGTGTGAGCCTCCCTATTTAAACAGAGACTTCAGCAAGAGTAGATCAGGATACCATTTGTGGTTTTGTCAGGTGCGTAGATTTTGTTCTGTCAGAATTTCTGATTTAGGGGGTAATGATCGTAGACATCTGATAACGTACCTTAAAGCAAGTTTCTCAGATACAAAGTTTTTAAGAAGTTACCCAGTCAAGCCCAGTGCGATAGCAAACTATCCATCCATCCATCCATCCATCTATCTCTCTATCTCTCTGTCCATCCTTCTGTCTGCTTGCAATCTCAAAATTCAAGGGGTGGGAGGATCACCAAAAGTTGGAGGCCAGTCTGTCTACATAGTGGATTCTAAGCCATCCAGGGCTACATCAGCAGGCCCTTTATCAAAGATTCAGCCACTCAGTGGGCTGGTGAGAGGACTCGGGGTCACAGTGCTTGCCACCATGCCTGGCAACCTGAATTCAATCTCACGTGGTGGAAAGGGTGTCCTGAGCCCACTTACCTCCACACAAGGGCCATGGCACACATGTTCCCTCTCCAATAAGTTAAGTGTAAAAAGAGAAAAAAAAAATGATAAAGTTAGCTAGTCAGTGGAGCTAGAGAAATGGCTATGGGGTAAGAGCACTTGCTGCTCTGTGTAGAGTTCAGGCCCTAGGATCTGTGTCGGGTAGTTTAAGACCAACTGCAGCTCCAGGAGGTCAGACACCCAGTGTCTGTGGGCACCAGTACACACCCACCCATACATAAATAGAATGTTTTAAAAGTTATCCAGTCAGAACGGAACGTGAGCAGCCTGGCAGAAGCCCTTTTACATTTAAATGGCCACCCTACTTTCATGCAAGGTCTGATCTAGGAAGTTAATACAAGCAAGGCCAGACCACATTAGAAGATGCCAGATCTCCTAAGTAGAGACTACGGGCCAGAAAGATAGCTCAGCATTAAGAGTTCTTACTGCTCTTGCAGAGGACCTGGGTTCACCTACAGAGCAGTTCACAACTACCTGTACTTCTAGCTCCAGGGAATCTGACACCCTCTTCTGGCTTCTGTGGGCTCCTACTTGTGTTACACATAAACTCACACAGGCACACATATATGTACATATAAAGTAATAAGTTTTTTAAAAATGTTGGGCTCCAAGTCTTATGTTAAAACTGTCTTGTGAAATATAATGGAAGCTACAAATAGTCTTACATTTTTCTAGGAACCTCATTTAAAATGTAAGAGAGTGCCAGGCAATAGTGAACACACCTTTAACCCCAGTATTTGGGAGGCAGAGGCAGGCAGATCTCTGAGTTCAAGGCCAGCCTTGTCTACAGATTGAATTCTAGGATAGCCAGGAAAACAGAGAAACCCTGTCTCAAAAAATAAAAAGACAAAAAAAAAAAAAAAAAAGATCAGATATAGTTGCAGTCATATTTGATATATAATTTTGTATTCTACCGCTTTGACGTGACATATTTTGTTTCTGACAAAAGGTACAAAATACATTTACATAATATGTATAAACCCTTTCTGGTACAAAATAACCTTTTGTTGGATACTATGGTTTGCTTACATTTTTGTCTCTTTCTGGAATTTATAGTCTTCTAGTTTTCAGCATCATACTTAATAGAGTTTGCTTGTTTGTTTATTCATTTATTTATTTGTTTTTGTTTTTTTCAAGACAGGGTTTCTCTGTGTAGCCCTGGCTGTCTTGGAACTCACTGTGTACACCAGGTTGGCCTCGAACTCACAGAGATCCACCTGCCTCTGCCTCCTGAGTGCTGGGATTAAGGGCATACACTACCTCCCCCAGCGTCTTTCCTTTTTTGAGACGGGGTCTCAGGTAGCCCAGGCTTGCCATGGCTCTCTTAGGCTAACCTTGAACTCCCAGATCCTTCTGCCTCCACCCCCCCAAGTGCTAGGAATACTGGAGTATGTGACCATACCTAACTCTTCTAAAAATTTTTTTAAAAATTTAAAGGTAGGTGTGCTGGAAACCAAACTCAGGTCCTCTGTAAGAATACAAGTACTCTTGTGCTTCTGTTTGTTTTTTAAGACAAGGTTTCACTGTGGCCTTGCTGTCCTGGAATTTGCTCTGTAGACCAGGGTGGCCTCAAACTCACAGAGCTCTGCCGGTGCCTGCCTCCCGAATTCTGGGATTAAAGGCTTGCACCACCACACCTTCAACTCTTGTGTTTTGTTGTTGTTTTGGGGACAGGTTATTGTCGTATAGCTCTAGCTAGTCACTCTGGTGCTCTCTATGTAGTTCAGACTGGCCTGAAACTCTTGGCAGTTTCCCTCCATCCACTTCTCCAGTGCTAAGATTACACAGGTATACCACAAGGCTGAGAAAATTATAACTTCAGGAGGCCTGAGGGAGGAGGATCTCAAGCTGAGGCCAGACTACATAGTACAGCCTGGTTTCGAAAAGAAAAAAAGGAAAAGAATAGCACTTGGGAGACAGAGGCAGAGGTCAACCTGGTGTACAGACCAGGAGTTCCAGGTTGCCAGGGCTATACAGAGAAACCCTGTCACAGAAACACACACACATACATGCAAAAAAAAAAAAAAAAAAGAAAGAAAGAAAGAAGAAGAAAAAGAATAGCACTAGGGAGACAGAAGCAGGTGGATCTTTGAGTTTGAGGTCAGCCTGGTCTACAGACGGAGTTCCAAGACAGCCAGGGCTACACAGAGAAACCCTGTCACACACACACACACACACACACACACACACACAGTTTTTTAAATCCAAAGAATTTATGGGAATACAGTTTTGGAAATACTTTCCTACGAAGGTCAGAATCCACCGATAAGGAACAGTGCCAGTTAAGTAATCATGGGCTCACCAAAAGTAGAATTAGAAGGTATTTAATAGATGGGCGTGGTAGCACACACTTTTAATCCCAGCACTTGGGAGGGAGAGGCAGGCGGATCTCTATGAGATTAAGGCCAACCTGGAGTATATATTGAGCTTCAGACCAGCCGAAGTTAATCATTGAGACTCCGGCTCTCAGCCACACCATCCCAACACAAAGGCATTTGCTACTCTCATTTCCCTTAGTTAGCTTGCTTAAATTGGGCGCGAGCAAACCCTTCAGACTTTGAATTGGTTGGAATCGGTAGAAGAGACCTTCCCCTGGAACTCATCTGGTGCTTGTCTTTGGAGATCAACTTTAGTTCTGATGGGTCTG